AAAAAAGTACGAAGCAAAAAATATTTCATAAAAGACACTACAATTTACATTGATATTCGGAGAAATAATGTAGTTATATATTTCGGAAATTACGAAAGTAAAAAATATAACAAGTTTGTGAAAGCTATCAAGAAATACAAACCAATTCTAGAGTACCTTATTCCTCCTCCTATACGAGCTCGTGCCATAAATGATAATGAACCTAGCTTAAGAACACAATCTGAATACTTAAACGATGAGATTATATTTCATAACAAAACTAATAGTTATTCAGCGATTTTTAAGACAAGAAATGCAAGCAATTATCCTTCTGATAGTAAATATAATATACAATCTCGTGTCATAAGTGATGATGTAAGTGATGATGATAGTGGAGATGATAATAACAGTGAAGATGGTAATAATGATAATGAAGCTGGACCAAGCATACAACGTATGTTCTTTAATGGAGATAGTTTATTTAATTCTGATGATGAGGGTTGTTCTGCAGGTTTTAAGGCAAGAAATGGAAGCGATGAATATGTAGTAATCGCAGGACATTGTTTTAATAAAGAAAGTTATGGTAGGCGTTACTATGTAACGTTTCAAACCGAAAACGGGTTTGAGAAGTTTTTTGTTGGTACTGCGGAGTATTCTCAAATTGAACCATTCGATTATGGTTTAATACTAGGACACTCTGAAGAAATAAAGCATTCACCGAATATAATACATCGTGAAGTTTTCGATCATACAGGTGAAGGCGATATAGAACAAAGAATTGTTAGAGACTATTTGCCAAAGGTGGTAAAATTTTGCATAGCCATGGTAACCATATATGTAAGGCTGGTCACGTCACAGGGATTACTTGTGGCGAAGTAATAGCATTCAATGGCATTCTTATTAATGACAATAATCAAATTACAACGAATTTAATCTTTGCAAAATCTAATATTTTAGAGTTTGCTAAACAGGGTGATAGCGGAGGTTCTGGTTATATAAATGATTTACAATGGGTGAGTTTAAACGGTATAATCATTGGCAAAAAACCATTCATGGGTATATTTCAATCATTAGACTCAATTATAAATAGTGCTAAAATAGATCTTGTTAAAATTGGCGACGATTAATATAAAAAAATATTATCATTTGGAAGTTGTGTTTATGGTATAGGTGAGATTTTTAAGTCGTACTAAACCTGCAAAGTTTTTTATGTTATGGTTAGAGAATCAAGGTTAATAATTATATAGCAAATTTTTCAAAAAACTTTTTTTTTTTTACAAAGCATAAACGGTGGCATATTTTTCATTATATATAATCGAGTACTGTAATGAATAGATAGTCACCTGCTTAATTCGCGTTTTTATTATGCTTTATTTTTTATTCTTATTTTTCTTTATTAATTGTATTGTCGAATTGATTTTAGTTATAAATATATTTTTTAATTTTTTTTTTTTTTTATTAATTGTACTGTCGTATTGATTCTATTTACAAATATATTTTTCATGCAACTCCAATTTCGTTTTGGCTACAAATTCTAGAACCCTAGTCATGGCGAAAAAATGTTACTGTCACATGACTTCAGGCCAATCAGCGAAATCAAAACAATCGAATAAGTATATAAATTAAAGTAATAAATCTTATTATTAGAGTTAGGTTTAGGTTGAGAATATAGCAGATTATATACCAAAATTTAGCAAGGAATTTTTTTTGTTAGTACGCAGAAGGCGATTTGATAAGTGAAATTTTGAGTTATTTACAATTTTTCAAAAAAAAAAAAAGAACGCAATTTTTACGTTACCAGTTACACCTGATCTTGTTATCTAATTGGCTAGATCCCGAAAATATCACGTGACAGTAACTTTTTTTTCGCCATGGCTAGGGTACTTCTACAATTCACGAATACGTACGTACGTACGTATTCATTATAATTATTTTAATATTATTACGTGCGTAACGTTCATTACGTTACGTAATGCACATAACGCACATTACGTTACGATTTAGATCTGTCAAGTTCCCCAAATGTTTTTATCAAACTCAAGTTGTATTTATGGTAAAATAATGTTGAGGCTTAGTATTTAGCTAATATAGGATCTGCTAAATAATTGTTATTTACAGCTTAAAATATACGTTATCGTGAATTGTAGATATATCGTGGTCTGTTTGTACCATCCCACCATGTTCTTGTAATTATATCAAGTAAGATAAAATGTATTTTAAGAATGTTCATAAAATATTTTCCAAACTTAACTAAAACAATATACCAGGAATGGAGTTTCACGGAAGTGAAACGAAGGATATGGTTTACAGTCATGTTCGATGGTGTCGTCCACAAAATCTTGTATTTTGTTGGTCGAAATGATCATGGATCTGTCTTTTTCTGTTTTTCGAGTATTTTTGGATTTCCTTTTTGAATTGCTCATTTATGTTCCAAAGTTTCATTTCAATAGTAAATGTTAACGGGTGTATATCATATAGTAATGCAAAATTAGTTGACATTGATTTTCATTTATAAGATTAAACCGTAGTGCAATACTGTCATTGCAATGAAAGATCAAGATTTTAAAATTCATAGACAAATTGAGAAAACCACTAGAGTTCGAGCTAATTTGAGTGCTTATGGGTATTATGTCCATGCCATTAAGCTCTACGTCTGCCCGCATTAAAGTGATCTGATTGGCTAATTGGACCATGTGTGACTTGACATCTGTCTACCATTAGAGATTTGATTGGTTGTCACACTTTTATGCCACGTTTTATTTATTAGGCTTAGTATTAGCATTATAATAAATTTTGATTTATTAATTACAAAGCCTGAATTGCTTCCGATATACTAATATATTTCAATAGTTATGTAATAGAAGCTTAAGCTATTATGAACAATTAATTACTGTCCAAATATTATTGGACTCTGTGGAATCATGAATGGTAAATAAACCTTATAATTTTTGAGCGTTTCAAAATTGATCTTTAATTAATTGGTACAGCTCACTTTGTAAATCATCACTTCGTCTTATTTCACAGATAATTAATTCATAAACAATTCTATTTTACAGAAATCTGTTTCACAACAGTTCATTTTATTGACAAATATTTTGGATGTTCTATAGAAAAGGTGGGTAATATAAGAAATAAGCTTCACTAATGATTAGTAATCATTAATTTTTTAATAGCGGAGTTTGGAGTTTGTGGAGTATGTCCACCTGTTTTATAGAACATCAAATATTTCTTATTGATAGCTTATTCTACTGACAAAACAAGTTTATTTTAAGAAAATCAATTCACAGATAGACTATTTTGTGAACAGTTTATTTTACCAATGGTTTGTTTTATAGGTAATTACTTGTCAAAGCATTGATTATCTGAAAAATAGACTTACCTGTAAATTGATTGTTAGTGAAATAAGGTATCTTCAAAATGATATAGATCTATGGAGAAAAGAATACTTCATATATTAAAATATATTAAAAGATAATTTAGAAATATGCTTATTGCATAGGTTTTATATAACAACTCACACTTTTTTATTTGATTATAGTTATTATACAGGATTGTAATTTAGACACTGTGCAATAAGATAGTTATTGCATAGGTATATTGAATAACCAGGTTACACTTAGGTTTATATTCAAATTTCATTACCAAAGGCATAAAATACAAAACTAAGTGCAACTAGGTTATTTACTTATATTTATACAATAACTATAATTTATGAGGTTAGATCAATAAATATAATTCATTAATTATAAATTATTAGAACTTCAAATACAATTTACTGGACATCTGTTTCTGGTTTCAATGCAACTACATTGTGCAGCTACCTCATTGTTATTAAATATTATCAATGTACAAAATAAATAAATAAAATAAAACTTTTTACTAAATTATACTTATAATATCTGACACCACAGTTACTTTATTTTAAGAAAATTAGCTAAATAATAATTAACACTGATATATCAGATACAACCTTATCCTAACTAAAATCCAAACCTATATCTTTACTATATCTTATATTTACTAAACTAAACTTTACTAACAAAATAATTAAAAAATATAAGTGATATTAAATGTCACTAAATATGAATAGGTATTATCAAAATAAAACATTAAATAAAATAAAAAATTTATTTTAAATGATACCCATAAACATTTCAAAATTATCTGTATATATAATATAACAATAACAGTTGTTACTTATTTCTTGAAATCTATTTTTTTGAAATACTATTTTACCAAAGTTGTAATGCTAAAAATTTATTTTACTAACAGAACAGAATAGTCTGTCATTTCACCAAATATCAATTAACCAACAAGATTATTTCATTAGCAGTTTATTTTATTTTACTAATAGCTATTTTACTAGAAAAGTAGTTTTTGTCATTGTTGTTAGAGTTAGGTTTAGAATTAAAGTTAAGGTTAGTACGATTTTTAAAAACCTGTCAGTAAAATAACCTTGTCAGTTAATTGATATTTAGTAAAATAACAAACCATTTCTGTCCTGTTAATAAATAAATTTTAAAAAATCAACCTAAACTATTAATAACAAGTTGTTAAACATTTATAACTAAATAAGAAGGATGTAAAAATTTGCTCTATTTTAAGATAACATATTTAAAAAAAACTACACCTACTGTAATAAATAAAATTTTTCTTTTTTTTCTTATTTTATTTTTTTTTATATTAGTATTGTTTATACTCTTATTATTATTATTCAGTTCAAATTACTTCACCAATACTTATTTTATATAAATAACATTTCATTAACAATAATAATTCTGGTTATTGTCATTAGGATCATATTAGAATTAGAATTAAGTTTAGTAGAATTTATAAAAATAATTTGTCTATGAAATAAGCTTCACTTAAATGAACTGTTGGCAGTTAACTGAATTTCATGAAGCCAAAGTCTAAGACTTTCTTGAAAAAACATTTTATTTGTTCAGGTACTATAAATATAATTTTAAATTCTTTAATTAATTTTTAAATCAGATAAATCATAAAGTATTATAAAACTATATTGAGTTTAAATCTATTAGTAACTTATCTAATATAAAAGTAACTTTGTATACTATCTATTTTAAATTCTGAAAATTAAACAAAAGCTGTATTTTTCCTAAAATATAAAATTTAAATTTATTAAAATGAGAATACTAATAAAATGATTTGCTTTATATAATCTTAATAAAAATATATTTGTAAATAGTATTTATGCTAAATTTGTAAACCTCAGATTTAATATTAATACTATTCTTAGAAGATAATCATATACTATATAAAAAAAGAAAATCAATAAAAAAAAATCTTTAAAAATTAATTTTATAAATTTTATAATAAATAATCAGTAAATTGTACTTATTACAATTTGTTGTTACAATAAAGTTTATTAAATAATTTAAAAATTCCAGTATTATGAGTTAATTCATGACCTCAGAATTTTGTAGTGCTATGTTCGATTAAGATCAGGATCTGCATATATGGTGTAATTTAGATTTGCATAAAATTAATTTAAAATCTAATTGTATATAATGTATAATGTATATAATCTAAATAAATATATATTTGAAAATATTCTATATTTAAAGATAGCAATATTAATAATAATAAGAGAGATATATTAAGCAGAGTCAATAGATTTTTATAGCATCTAAAAAAGTTCTATTTTTAGCAAAATAGCTGTTTTGTATTAAGATGCATTTTTTGCTATTATCACATTAAACACATGATTATTATCTTTGTTTTTTAACTGATTTGTTAAACAATTATCAATATATAGTGAAGATAAATTTATAAAATAATATGTTAATTTTTTTTAAAAAAAATGTCATCAGTTCTTTTACTTTTAGATCGATATTCTTAATATAAAACTGATTTCTATGAAAGTGAAGAAAAAATTTATTGTACTTTTTATAAAAATCTCATTGATCATTGTAAAAAATATAATCTCAATTTATATCTAAAAATTAATAAAGAAAAATAAGAATAAAAAATAAAGCATAATAAAAACGCGAATTAA